TGAATTCTCAGGAATAACAACAAACAACAATCGATAATAACATCATAATCATTTGGAAATAAATACTGTTATACTTAAGCAAATGCCTTTTTTTTTCTGAAATTAAGTGAAATTTAATCGAGCTAAAAGTTAGAAAATTCCATACATTCCAAAAATCGAAATATAGGTTAAAAATTGAAGAATTGGGGGTTTCTTAACATAAACAGTCTCCATTAGAAGAAACTTGTTATGTAAGAAAGCATATTATTAATTACTCCTTGTTAAAAGAAGTTTAACCTTTTTGGAGAAAGAATTAGAAGCTTCCGAAGGTAGAAATTGAGAGAGGTCTCCCATGTAATCCTCTTCTTCTACTGCTTCCGCCATTGCTGTCGATTCTCAGCTCGGTGCAGATCAAACGTACAGACTTTTGATTTAATGTCTATCGAATAATTGGTTCAATTCCAAAACTCATTCACCCTGCAAATCTGTAGGCGAGAGTTGAGCAGAAAGATTTCTCTGCAACGTGACTGTTTGGCTTTAAAGAATTTGCGAATAGCTTGACCTCCTTTATTTAAATTTATTTTCGATAACAGATTTTTTAATAAAATAAATTTAAATGCAAATTCAAAATATTTTTCCTTACTTTTAACCTCGTTCTTTAGAAAATTATTATTACAAAATTTATTTTCACAAAAATTAGGCCCAAATTTGGCAAAATTTAGGCCATTAATTTTAAAAATTATTTTTTAAATGATTGAACTAGATGTTGTCAACACATGTAAACTAAATTCGTCAACCTAGTTTGTACAATAAGAATGATTCTTTTTGAAAAATGTTTTTTTTTTTTTAAATGTGTGGTACAAAAGTAGAGAAAATTGATAGGTTCACATAAAAATTTATATTAGGAATTATTGCAATTGCGGTTACAAACATTTCCTTTCTTTGCAAACTTTACCTAAATTTGCGTTTGCATCATCCATGATCCCAAACCTTTTATTTCATTGAATCACAAGGATAAACTGATGGATTCCATTCATCAAAACATTAGTTGACAAAAAAAAAATTTGATTTCGATCAATTTTTAAAGGGTAAGGGTATAGTTTTGCAAAAAATAAATAAATAAAAAATAAAAAATCCAAACTTCTTCTCCACTCCCACCGCCACCCCCAAACTAAATCAACACTAAAAAATCATTGAATCACTAGCGGTCACCGCCCTCCCACAGCACAAACCATCATAGTCTCCATCGCCATCGCACCCAAAACTATCTTTGCACAAATCTCAACCAAAATTAATCCATCTACACCAAAAATTAACCCATTTCTTTCATCCACCAAAAACTGTAGTTGCTCGAGTTTGGATAAATTCAACAAAATTGATCTAGTTAGTCTGTTTGAATGCATAATTAGAACTTGTACTTGACTAAAATGACCTAGTGTGACGGCCAAAATGTCACCGATGAGTCCCACACCGGGAAGCCTCAAGTAGTAAATAGACAAATTTGTAGGGTCACATTGCACTCTAACCCAGTTGCACGTAGAAGCAGAATATTCCTACTAGAGACAATTTTTTGTGTGGAATTTCAAAAAAAAAGTAAGGAGCACTTGATAATCCTAAGTCCCCATTTGTCATCATTTAAAAATTTAAATTGTTTGCTACATGATCATTCTTAATCACATATTCACACAATAAAATATTTTATATACAAACTAATAGAGTTTCTTTACATTTTAACCACACATTTTTCAAAAAATACTATTCATAGCTTATTTTCTCAAATAAATTCTATCAAATAGGTCTTTACTAGGCTTTGAATTGACTCTGTATATAGGGATGTCAAATGTGCCAAGCGGCTTGACCGCGGCAGACGAGCCCTAGCCCGAGCTGAGCAGGGGGGCTCAATCTCACGAACGGCTCGTGGGCCGTACGAGCGGCTCGTGGGCACACGGCCCACGAGCCATTTTGAAATATAAAAATATAAAAAACAAAAAAATGTCCAAAAATGTGCAAATTTATTAAAAAAAATTTAATTAAAAAAAATTAAAAAAATCTCGGCCCCGAGCAACGAGCCCAACTCGAGCTCGGCTCGTCACGAGCTAGAGCCGAGCTCGTGGGTTAAAGGGCCGAGCCGGCTCGATTCGATCCATTGCCATCCCTATCTGTATATCCCTGTATAAATACTATGAACACAACTGAAAATAAACAACCAAATTGTAGAACCCACCCATTTTTCCTTCCGTATGGCACTCAATATACAAAAACACCCAGATCTTAATAATGAGATTCAAACTGCCGTTTGTGGTGACGATTTTTAACATACAAAAAGTTGATTTTCTGGAAAAAAAAATTAAAATAAAAAAATAAAAAAAAACCCAATGCGATAAATGCTGAGTGTATGTTATGTATATTTGAAGAGAGAGATAAAACAAATAGGTTTATTTTGGTGTAGAAGCAAATATGTTGATTTGGAAGTGACCTGTGGAAAGATAGTTTTGAGTGCGGCGATGATAAAGACAGTGACTGCTTGCGATGTGAGATGACGGTGGCCAATGGTGATTTTGTGGTGTTTTGGTATTGAAATTGGTTTGGGATGTGGTTAAGTGGATTTTTATTTTTATTTATTTTTTTTTGTTAATTTAATTTTTAACTTATTTTATGTATGTAAAGTTACTCTTTTATCCTTTTAAAATTGGTAAAAGTCCAATATTGATGTCAACTATGAAGGAGTTTGCCGCTTGGAGTTGGGGTCTTACGTAGTCTGCTGTTTGTTTTGAATAAGCCCTAGTCTTTAGGGATGTTGTCTCATTTGAATTATTCCAAGTTCTGTTATTCACGTAGCTGAGTTAATGCTATCGTGAGCTGCATTTACGCTTTCAGTTAGAGTTGTAGTATGGCTATAAAGCCAGGTTCTTTGTACTTCAATAAATAAGTCATTCATTCCATTTTGTTAAGAGTCTTTGCATAGTTTCATTCAATTATTTCTAACAAGTGGTATCAGAGCCCCACTGGGCTGAGAGAGAAAGGAAAGCCACAGTCTTTCGATCGACTTCAAGAACAGGAGAGTTTGAGAGAGATGTCAAGTGAAGGTTCCTTCGTCCAACCAGCTATCCCACGTTTCGATGGTCACTACGACCAT